TGTAGAGAATTTCACGGGATATCTAATCGTGTATAACTGGAAACTTGCGTCCCTTTCTGGTAAGATTTTCTGATCAATGACCTTTCGACGTTCAATATCGCCCTGTATACTATATATAAAATGAGTCGAAATACTTTTCCTTTGAAACATAAGCTGAATCTAAAGGGTGTATTTTGTTCAGAATTAAACACAGTATAAAACTACATGTGACTTGGCCGGTAAATGTGTGTTTTTCGAGAAACAGGCTCCGTCAAGTTCCTCCTTAGGATTTCTTGCCCCCAAAAAGCTTTTTTATGTTTTGATCATATGTATAATACTCCGTCCGACTCAGTTTTGTTCGTAGATTACGAATATGGCGTTAAAACTGGTTGATAAGTAAATCAGACCAGAAAAATCAAGTTCAAGTCCAAAATATACCCTATTCTGGTATACTTATTTCCAGTAAAAAAAGTTTCCCATAGACGCAGATGGATTTCAGATCTCCACATGAAGTGGCAGATACAGCTCATACAGTACTCATACAGTTTTCGATAAAATTAGAATTTGGTTCTGCATATCGTTTGGGTGTTACAATTAGTTTACTGCACACATATAAGATGGGTATGATCGATTTTTTTCCATAAATGACCCATTTTTCCTAGAAGAACTAGTCTCTATGGCCCATTAACGAACTATTTTGTACAGTTTTCATTGCTTTACAAGAATATAAGTAAGACAACATCGCATTGTACTACATTACCGAATCTTGACTCTTTCTCTTACATCAATACCGATTAAAGATCAAGAACATGGTGACACCCATATCTCGGTAACCAGAAGGTATTAACCCAAACCCAATACAGATTAAGATCCGTCGCGAGACGCTCTACAAAACCTGATATATAGCTTTATAGTTCGACATACTTTTGAAATTCGATAAGGTCCTTTCTTTGACGTGTGCATACAGTGAGCAACGAATAAAAACTACCGTTATGTAATTATTAGAAGAATTTGCTTTCGGTTCTTTCGTTAATTATTAGAAACATTCTTCCTTTCTGCTTTAAGTTTCATCAAAGTTTAATGCCAGGTGATTTGATCCTTAGTCATATTTCTTGCGCGTTGTTAGAAGTTAACTTCGGCAGTTGTTAAAACCTGGCTGTCAGAAGAAAAATATGCAAAAGGCTCAATATGACTGCTCTAACCAATAGAAGAGTGTGTGGACGTCCATATTTTCTTTTCTTTTACGTTACATTAACGGAAAACATAATGTAATAGAACCATTTCTTCCATATACAACACGTGTTTCTTTCGCTTCAATAGACATCTAGCGTACGTACATCGTATCTTCTTCGTCTTTTTGATGTCGCATACAGATGCCGTATGTGATACATAGTGTGCATCTAGTTGTGTGCGATATATAAAAGAAAAAGGAGATGATTTGCATGGCAAGACAGAAAAAAAGAAAAAATTAATAGAACGAAGGAAATGTTTATTTCTACTATAAAAAGAATTGTCGACAGGTCTGTTCGGATATTACGTAGTCCCAGAGAGGAGAGTTGAAGCTTAGAAGAAAAAGAGAAATTCGCTGTATGATATATGCCAGATAGAAAACAGAATGCATACTTGTTAGAGTAGCAGTAGAGAATAAATAGGTATAAATCGAATATAGCACTGCTACGAAATACATTTTGAATTTAAACTAAATTCACTTGGTATTTTATTTATTTTCGAGCTTTCACTATGTATTCATATCATCATCAGGAAAACATATGACAAAGAGAGAAATCTTAACTATATACACAAAATAGTAATTTTTTGCAAGAACAGAAGAGAATACAGTGATGTATATGTGAGTTCTGATTCATTTTATTAATATCATCTTGATGTTCTCCCATTCTAGTAGCTCTTTTTCTATTTGTTTCACTCTCATAATAATTATCACAGGTATTGTACGGTACTTAATACACAAGTACATTTTATAAAACGAGGAATCAGAGAAGAAGTGATAGTAAAGAAAATCAAACAAAAACAGCAGCCTCAGCTTGAAACAGCAATATACCTCAACTATTAATAGCTCCGAAAACGAAAATATTTCTCACGTTTACCTATTACGGTCAAGAATAACTAGTATTTGCTGAAAGAGCGAAGAAAATATGAAAAAATAATTCAACTTAATATTGCATACATTCACATTGAAGAGTATATTGCTACCTAGACAAAAAGGAAAAGATGATAGGAAATAACATAAAAAAACTTGTGATCGTGTAACACCTGTGATAATTATTATGTAGATGAAACAAATAGAAAAAGAGTTACTAGAATGGAAGAACATCAAGATGATATTGGTAAAATGAATCAGAACTCATATATAGCGAATCATGTTCACCAACAACAACATTCTTTCGATTTCAATAATGTTGAAACTCTAGCACTCGAAGGAGACGAGTTATAAAAGAAAGCTTATTTACATCAAACATAAACTGCACGTGTTTGCTCGATAAAACTGTCATTAAGGACATATTTTATGACGAAACGTTCTATGAATGATACAGTCGACTATATTTTCTTCTATTCTTGCGAAATTACTGTTTTGTATATATAGTTAAGATTTCTCTCTTTGTCATATATTTTCCTGATGATGGTATGAATACATAGTGAAAACTCGAAAATAAATAAAATACCAAGCGAATTTAGTTTAAATTCAAAATGTATTTCGTAGTAGTTCTATTACTCTACATTTATATCTAGAATACATAATCTGATCGAGTATATACATATTGGTTGAATTTTTATTCAACGAAAAGAGAGAAAAGAAAGAATAAAATATTAACATAAGCGGCCATTTTTGGCAGCTGTTATTGGCAGGTAACTTCTTACAACGTTTCTTTCGTTCTACGTTTATCTTTCATGTAATGACACGAAAAGAAGGCGTTAGATATTAGCGTGACAGAATTTTCTCTACCCACTCTACAGAGACATTTAGTCTAGCATAAAGTTGATCAACTAATTTAACGTGACTATACTGAACTTATTTGAACGTAACATCACGCTCAAACCAGAAAATGTAAGCTTTCATAATTTAGTCATCTCTTACCTTTTACTAAAAGATATACTAAATTTGTGCTAAATAATTCATTGAACAACTCAATAGTGGATGAGTTAGGACATGTATTTTTGTTCAAACAAAACAAATATTCTCTCTGAGAAAAGATGATAAATCCTAACGTTCTATCGAAAAATCCTTAGCCTCTAGACTAAAACAATATTTTGAGAAAAAAAAGAAAAGATTGTTTTACTTTTCTCTCACTGACTCGTTGTAGTACATCAATTTTGACCAGAATTACACAGTGAGGCAGTATACTGCTTACTGTCCGTCATAAGATGTCTGTCCTACGATGACTGTCTTCCGTGACTATCGACTAGTCTAAAAATAAAATGAACATCTTGAAAAACTAAACTGAGTAATGTTCCTTTTTTACTCACGGTATTTTCTGAGTGTTCAGGACATGGGAAATCATGTTGTTCTTAACTCTGTGCGGCTATACTAACATGACTTAAATTTTTAAGTTATCTTCCGTTACGCAGTTTTATTTTCTAGAATCATAAAATGAGTCTTTAAAAAATACGTATCCTGTTAGAGAACAGCAAAGGATAGGAAAGATAAACTAATATTTCTTAAATAGAACTACAGCAGATATACTGCGACCAGAGGTTTATTTTCAGACAGAATCGTTAGTGATTTGCAGCGCCATCTTATGTTATTTTCAGCGTAAGGTTAGAAAAACTTCAGTAGTTTATTTTTTATTCTATTCATTCGTTTTCATAGTTAACAAACATCTTAACTCATATAACAATACGGGTTTAACCATGTGTAGTACTAACTTAATTATATATTAGCCAATGAAAAAAAACTGTCTCGCATTCTATTTTTTTCAGAAATTTTACTATAACGTCACTATCATCTTGTGTGTGTTTTTTGGCCGAGGTAAGTTAGATGTAAGAGTTAAGCGGCAAAAATTCCACAATTAATACATTCTCTTCCGTCTTTTGACATTGATTGTACAGTTTTAGATATAACTTAGTTCGATGGTGTCTTCTTGAGGAAGTCATTCACTTTTTATGGTGCTATGTACTACTACTTACACACGTCTATAAGTGATTATATATTCATTAAGCTTAACTATTATATCTCTCTTATTAATTACTGTTCTATGATTACAAAATAGTTCTGATGTTATACTTGCTCTTATTTTCAGATTTCTTTTTTTGTATTACAAAATTAAATCAGCGAATACAATCTCGGATTTATAACCGTAATTATTGAAATGATGGCTTCGAATAGGCATAATTTTAGTAATCATCCGAATACCAATCAATCTTATCAACAAAACAATATGTAAGTAAACAATAAGAGAAATATGAATACAGACTAGCTATCATTGAATAGCCTCTCTTTTCGATTCATTTAACTCTATTGTATCTAGTTTTGTTTACTTCAACTACTGAATATCTTGAGTGCTTTAGATGATAAAGATTAAAAAGTTTACATAGTTTAAACAAGTGACTGACCAAAAATCGAACGTCTCTGTGTCTTTATTCTACTTTGTATTTTTTTCCCTTGAAACAAGGAATCAACTATACCTACAAAAAGTCACAGACACATCTCATAAAGGGTGAGTCAGAATTACTGAAAGAAATTGATTACTTGAAACGTTTTAGTAATTCTGGTCCACCCTTTATAAGGCTACGTTCAGACTACAAATTTTTCAGAATTAACTCTGAGTTTACTCGAAGTTAACTCAAGAGCGTTCACATCTAAATAAGATATACACCAATAAGATTTTGATATTTCCCCTAAAATTGTGCTTCTTCCTGATGTCAGTCAGTATTCTCGAAGGTTGCGGCTTGCTAACAGCCGGTCGGTTTGAATTTACGTTGTACAGTTGACTTTCTAAGCTCAAACAGAAAAACTGAGTAGAGAGTCAGATGTTTGTTTCCCCACAGAACTGACGCTACCTCCCTTGTCTAACGGAATCACATTATTGGTTACTCAGCTGTGTTATGATTGGAGAGTTAAAGTTAAATGATGTTCGAAACATTTTATTTAACTCAGAGTTAACGTTTTGACCATGCAGCTTCGTTTTAGCTCATTTAACTTTTGTAGTGTGAACGTAGTCTAATATACGAAAATATCTTTACTGTTTTCTCCTAATTACTTTTTTAAAATATTGTATACTTTTTAAGACGCATCAATTCTGGACAACAACAACAACAACAACTTTCAGCAACTTTTCAACTCCCACCTACAAATTATCAAGTGATTGGTACTGCACCGTATCCTACAACAATTCACATTTCTCAGTAAGTGTCTTTATGATAAATACGACTGACTTACTCATGTTGCTTTTCTTTTGAATTAGACAACCAAATAACGTTCCGTATTATCAACAACCGCCATCTCTAATAACAGTACCACAGCAAGCTCTCTTTAATATAAATGCAATACCATATGCGTCTGATGCGTAAGAAAATTTGATTTTTCATTCAAATATGAGAAATTTTTCGATTGTTAAATTCTTTTATTGAAGTGTCACGTCTGATTATTTCTGAAAAAGAACGTGTTCTCTTTTTTATCGTTTTGAAAATTTTTAAATGAGAATGATTGATTATAAAGAGTCTACATTGTGCTGTATGCTCATATTTAAACGTTATATCTCACAGATGTATCCTTTAAGCAACTATTTCCATGATTTGTGTAACTGTTATTTTTTATTTGTATTTTAGCGAAAATACTTCTGCATATGATTTTATGCAGCAAGAATATATGAATGAAAATGGTATTGACTATGATGAAGGTGATGAAGACGATATGGGGCAAGATGGTGGTTATACAGACAATGATGATGATGCTTATAATAAAGAAATTGAAGACGCATTTAGTCAATATGAAAGAGAGGTGAATAATTGTTCGGTTTCGTCTTTTTGTTTCCTATAGTATTATCAGAGCGCTATTTCTTCAGATGATGTCTAAGCATTGGCCTGAGGATCAAAATATGAACAAGGTAGAGTTTTAAAGGAGACAATGTAATACAGTATTCTCTGTGAGTATGTGCATGTTATTTCAGATGTGGTCTAACTGGACAGAAGAAGAGGTACATTTTTTCATCAATCTAATGCCAACACTTTAACTGCCTTTAATTTGCTGCCATCTGTCTAACCAACTCACTTTTTCGGATGTTTGTTTCACACAATTGTCTATAATCATGTTGAAAATACCAGTTAATTATTTTTTTTTCTAGCAACAAGAAACTCTTAGTATGATGAATGAATGTATTGAATTTCAAAGCAAAGAATATGCCATTGCCTCTATGCCGGACGAACAAGTAAGTAATGAACATCAAACTTGAAATTATTGTCCTTTCGTATGGACAAAATTTGAAGCAAATTCTGATCAAGTTCACAGCAGCTTTAAATTTGTTGTTCATGATTTATTGAAAATTAATGTAACGTTTCGATATGTCAAGTATCATCATCAGACAAAGATTACTAAAATACGACTACACACACTATACAAGAGAATAAAAGTGAATGCAAGGGTGAATAGTACAAAGAACAGTAAAATTTTATCTTTTCATTTCTGTCAAAAAGAAGACAAACACGCGAAATAGTTCAATATGCGTATATTCAACTGCAAATCCCCCTGTATGATGAATCAAATGTTCGATATCTTAAATTTCACTCTAGGTTTTGAGAGTGCCCAAATATACAATGAGGGGCACTGATGAAACCATTCTGTTTAAGCCTGGCAATTTTTGAAGGGTATGCAGTGATTCACGAACTAAGAGACGATATCTGAATGGATCTTTTGATAGAATCTTCCAACCTGGTCAGTCAATATTGTGATTTATTTCAGTTTGATGTAAGTGAAGACCTGACTTTATCTGTTTTTCACTTAAGACTACGCCATGATCTGCAATCGATTCTTCTCTGTAGTCTGCTTTCGTTTTATCCTTATTTCGTGCTGATCTTCGAAGGTTCCCGTCTTCAATGTTTACGATCGTACTTGATTGAGAAGCAGATGACTGTTTTAACACAAATGGAGCGCCATGTTCAGAGAGTCCCCTTGATGCTTGTCGAATGGTTTTGCCAATATAAGAATCTGGACAAACTAAGCACGACACATGATAGACTAAATGAGATTGTATATCCTTGTCAACTTTGTCTTTTCGACCAAAATAAGAGGACAGATCAACAGGTGGACGAGGAATAGGTTGTACATGTAGATTAGGACGAACAATTTTAACTAAGTCAATGATTTTCTTTCCCAAAACCTTTGTTGCTTTCCCAGCATACGGTAGATAAGATTAAAAAGATAAAATTTTACTGTTCTTTGTACTATTCACTCTTTCATTCACTTTTATTCTCTTGTATAGTGTGTGTAGTCGTATTTTAGTAATCTTTGTCTGATGATGATACTTGACGTATCAAAAGGTTACATTAATTTTCAATAAATCATGAACAACAAATTTAAAGTTGCTGTGAACTTGATCAGATTTCACTTGAAATTATAGTGGTAGATCAAAAGTCTCATACTACTTTTTTGTTTTACTTATTATATTAAAAATAAAGAACATCAGTTTAATAGAATATTATGTGTATATAGCTGAGAAGTAGTAACACAGTATAGAGATCGACAATGTATGCATGTAGTGTTTAAATACATCATCATACATAATAAATATAAAGAATCATGATAGATTCGTAAAATTATTTTACATAAAAAGCGAGCTTTCAATACTTCACAGTATTATCATCAGACTAATATGACTGTCGAATTTGGAAGAGAAAGGATTATAGATAGTAGTTGAAGGTCAGAAGGAAAGTAAAACTTAAAATATTGATTTATTTTTTATTTTTTGACTATTATTTTCTAACCTGCCTAATCGAAGGACGGTAATAATTTTGATCTCCTAAAAATTGCAGAATGGATCCCGTATACAAAAAGTTGTCTAAAAAACGCCTCCTTTCTTTGTCGACCTTCTCACTTTCATCTCATGTCTTTGATCTTATTCAAATTTTTGTATACAGGATCTATTGTGCATTTTCACCGGGATCTTTTCTGATTTTATCTCTAATCGAATATAACTGTCTTTAGTGGAATGTCATTGTAGGCTACCCTTCTTTGTTCGTGTGTCAGTAACACAAGCAGTAAAAAGTACATTCTGGAATGGGTACAAAATTTCTGGGAATATAAAAGAAATTTTTTCAGTTTTGATCCTAGACACGGCTAAGTTCGGCTTCTAAAAAATGGAATGGCAGAATAGACATATTTTGGAATTGGTACATTTGTCTTGTAGTGTTTTCCCCCCCTTGCTGTAACATCTCTTTTAATAATGTTTTAATTTCATTTTTTTTCGTATGCCAATATCCATGGTTCGTCCAGATTTAAAATGTAATTGTTTTGAGTGACATGTACAGATATTTTTGAAAACAAATCATCATTCTCTCTGTTCTTCTTATGCTGATTCATTCTAATGCCTATTTCACTGTTACTGTTTGTTCAACATAAATATTAGAGCAATCTTTGCATTTTATACAATAAACAACTCCAACTTTTCTATGATTTCTATGAGAAATTGCTATCGAGTGTTTGATACTTTCAAAATTCAAATCCTACCGAATGTTTTCAGAATTCTTTTTAAACTCGAAACAAACTTTTTTTATTCACTTCCTAGATAATATAAGCAAATATTCGTGTCTGACACAGTCATATTAGCCTGATGTTGATACTGTGAAGTATCGAAAGCTCGCTTTTTATGTAAAATAATTGTACGAAAATGTTTTTTAATTATATTAAATATACGTAGTTTTATAAAAAAAAAATATTAAAAGGTCAAAGAATGTCAATATAATCATGATAGAGATTGATTTCATTCACAATTTTACAGAGACGATAGTAATTATTAATCTGTTATTTTGATATTATATAATATGAATCGATCATTATACTTTTAATCGGTTACTCACTGATAACGGTGCATGTTGTCCAACTTTATTTTTAAACTTGTTGAGAAAAATGAATTATCGAGAGAACTAATTCGTTTTTCAACTATGAGTGATAACAATTGCATATTTACTATCTCTGCACGTCGTCTTTCTATGAAATCCATCCAAGACTGTCTAAAATCACAACGTAACCCGTTAAAAGTATAATGATTGATTCATATTATCTAATATCAAAATAACAGATTAATAATTACCATTATCTCTGTGAAATTAAGCATAAAATCAATCTCTATCATGATTGTCCTGAACCGAGTCAACATCACTCTTTAATATAACAATATTCTACATCATATTTATGTACAAAATCTTTTTCAAGAAAAAACATAATACGCTCATTCTTTGTATTTATTATGTATGATGATGTATTTAAACACTAAATGCATACATTGTCTATCTCTATACTGTGTTACTACTTCTCAGCTATATACACATAGAATTCTATTAAATTGATGTTCTTTATTTTTAATATAATAAGTAAAACAAAAAGTAGGATGGACATTTGGTCTACCACTGTAAGACTTAGAAGCATCATTTCAGAATTTTATTACCTATTCTTGATAGTAAAATCCACTATAGACAAACATTGCCTACAGAATTCAACGATAGTTTCGGTTTAATTTTTCGATGCTTTCAAAATCATTTTTCAATTATAATGAGACACTAAAGAATGAGTAAATGTACTTTTCATCACCAACTTTTCCAGCATGCATGTCACATGTTTATTTCACAACAAAGTATAATGTACAACACAAACATATTCATTCAGGTTTTAATCAAATGAACAATATTTTTACAGTTTTATTTATATCTATTTACAAATTTAAAGCTGTGCTAACTTTCTTCGGACGCCCTTTTACTTTTCGTTTGCCTAATGATTGAATATGTGTTTTATCGCTAACTTGATACAAGTTAGATAAAATTGCTAACTCAACAGAATGTTTACACGAATATACTAATAATGGTACAACAAGCCAACACGATTGTTGCCACATCAGAAAACTGTTGAATGTGTCATTGGCTAGATATTTATCGTTCTCGTCGGTGGATTATATTCAATATTTTTCTGATGTGGCAACAATCATGTTGGCTTGTTGTACCATTATTAGTATATTCGTGTAAACATTCTGTTGAGTTAGCAATTTTATCTAACTTGTATCAAGTTAGCGATAAAGCACATATTCAACCATTAGGCAAACGAAAAGTAAAAGGACGTCCCAAGAAAGTTAGCACAGCTTTAAATTTGTAAATAGATATAAATAAAACTGTAAAAATATTGTTCATTTGATTAAAACCTGAATGAATATGTTTGTGTTGTACATTATACTTTGTTGTGAAAT